GAAAAACGAATTGACGTGGACTGTCACTTATTCTTGGAGCATTTTTACTCAAGCAATCGCCATGTCACTTTTGATACTTAGAAGGGTGTTCATTCTATAATTATGTTTTATGCCTTAAAGGTTAAGCTTTCATATCTTTTCATTTATCAAGTTGACTCACCTAATCTACTACTTTCATTTCTTCTACTTCTTTTTTTGCATTTTTTTGCTCAGTCATGTGCAGCTATAAGTAGCAGCAATTACTGTAGAACGATACGGCATTTTTAGATCTCCGAAAAAAAAAGTCTTGGATGAAATTGAACTGACAGATTTTCCGTATCTTCTTATCGAAAATTTTCTGGAACTATTAGAGAGCGTTTCTCTCATCCATATGCGAAGATGTTCTGAATTTGGAAAAAAAACGCAGTACGGATCAGCATGGTTCAGTATGGATAAAAGATCTCGTTTTTGGGTCGTTCGGTAGAACTTCTTCAAAAACTCACTACATTTTTAGAAAGGAAAAAAGATCACTTCGAAGATAAAATATGGTTTGGAACAATCTACATAATACTCCCTCTATTAGTTAATCACTTGTTTTGCGCTTAAGTTATACTTCAGATGGTCTATCTTTCTTTATTCTAGATATTATTGAATCGCTTTTAATGTAAAACGTTTTCAAATATCAATTCAATGAAAGGATTCTCACTATGCAGAATAAGGTTTTTACATCCATGCACACAGATAAACTATTATAGCAGTACACTTTTTATTTGTTTACTCATTTGTTACACTCGTGATGCACCCAAAAAAGAAAAATGCACAGAAAATCAAACAAGCTAGATGTTAGCTAGTCAAAACAGCGGGAAAAAAGGGCAGGATATGGAACAGTTTCTGTGCTTGTTTACTCAAAGAAATTTAGTTATTGAATCAATTTTCCTACAAGAAAGTACCTGTGTCCTTTTGCAAATACAATTACCTCCGAATAAACCGTGAAAATGCGTATCATGCACGTGTGAAGTAATATTTTGACGGCAGTTATGATTCATCGCAGAAAGTCACAGAACAATCATCGACACTTACAATCCTCGTCATGCGTGTCGGAGGGCATGAACATGCCATCGAACATGCCCCTACCATCCGACCCCCCCCCCCCTCTCCCCCTCCCACTTGTCTTTATTGTAATATCGACTTTATTCGGAGAAAACCTTCAAAACCTTCATGCAATGGCTGTAATACTCTCTCGTGTCGCGTAATTCATCGTAATTTGGTCTTGCGTTGTTCGGAATAGAATTTTCCAATCAAATTTCTTGCTGAAATGTGTTCATTCCTAACTTAATTCTCTTTCTCCTGCTCTTACATTTATATCAGGTTGGAACATAAGTTTGCACCAAGATTTCCGAATCGTAAATTCATCCAGGTTTTATGAATCTTTTTCACACAATCTTTCCTTCAGATTTGATGAATTTATTTGATTCAGTTTGAGAGGTATAGGAGAAAAATTACGCCCTTTAATTGTGCTCTGTATTAAACTTATTATAATCATGTCATTAAAATGAAAGGCATTAAAGATGAATATATCGTATTTTTGAGTTTTATTTTTTCGAAAAATCTCGGTCGTTAAAATGCTAGAAACTCCAAGAACTTCTAATTTTACTTTTGTTGCACATTTTGACCGACTCTTCCTAACCTATGTGAATTTGTACTGATAGGACGTCTCCACAACAGATTGTGTCTTCAATTATTTACTTTGATTTTGCTGGAAATAAGAATATTTGTAATAAAAAAAAATACACATTTATGTACAGCGACAAACTGTAGTGCCGAATTTTGACTGAAATATTCAGGATTTTTGGTACCACATCTGTGTTCTAATCGCTATTTAAGCTGGCATAATTCTACCGTAATGCTCGGTTTTTCCTCAACTTCCTTCTCATAAAATCAACTACGCGCGACTAATCCGCTACTGGCGGCAAGTGGCTCCCCATGTTTACCGCATTTATTCCTCCAACTAACTCAGATTACGTCTTACCGCAAATCACAATCGCAAGCTAAGCCCTTTTTCTCCCCCCTCCCCTTCCAATCCATTTGTGAGCAGTACAAGAATTTATGCTTATTTTCCATCATAGCCATTTTTCGCTGGGTCATTGTTGACTAAGCGCTGTAAAATTTTATTGCACTTTCCTATGTTTGATCTTCTCCTCTTGATTTTGAATTCTTCTTGATCTGTTAATTGAGAAGTTGTGGATGGAGGAAGTTTACTTGAAGGCGAAATTGACTGCGCTTAGTCCCCTTACCGAGGAGATGGATGACAAATTTAAAAATGGCCTATATGAGGTGGGTTGTGCAAATGATAGTTCCTTACCTGTAAGCCAAAATGATTTCTTAATTTTTTGAAATTTAAATAAGCTTTGCAAAAAAAATTAGGGGCGTTAGTCATTTTAGGTCAGTGAGAAATTTGGAGGACTAATGACATTTGAGAAAATTTTTGTTGTAACCCCCCCCCAAAAAAAAATTTTTTTCGGCAACATTGTTCGATTCTTAGAGCATATAGCTGTTATCTTTTAGGAATCCAGTTCTGGGCATTTGCCATACTCCAACTTAGAACTCGGCAGAGTTTGCCATTTTCCTATTTTATTTTACATGAATGGCTACTTGTGCCAGCGCTGTATGACATTCTTAACACATTGATGACCATGCAGATTTTTGAGTTGTCTGCCTTCTGGGACCAAGGCCTCTCACGGACCAGTCAACGATTTTTAGATAAAGTCACGCATACTGCCATCTACAGTTCACCCACATTAGCTCTGTGAGACGTATTAAACAGATAGAGGCTATCTCTAGCTCCAAGGCAAGAGAAAACTTTTGGAGTGAGTTCCTCCTGGGATAGTCGTCATTTTAACAAAATTCAGACCACACACCATGTGTGTCAAGCGGTCCCACGTGGTAGTCAATGCTTGACACACATGGTGTGTTAAGCGGTCATCAATGTGTTAATCTGTACACTACTACGGTGACTGACTTTAAAGAACCATTTGAGAATTTCAAAAGTAAATCTTCACCATTGAAGTACACCACACGTGGACGAAAAAAACCTGATTGTATAGTACTCGTGACGTCCTTTAGAGTGCACTTGGACGGTTGTCTGATTCTCAGCGTAGAAGTAGCCAGCGTTTGATTGAGTTATCTAGGAAGAGATCTTTCTCTGTGGTTCCTGAGCATTTACGTGTGCCTAATTTGGCCAGTACATACGTCCATCCATGTATGTCCATCACTCATATACAACCCATTGTTCTCTACCCACTGCTCTTCTCCTATTCATTTCTTATCTTCTCTCCATTTCTTATAGTTCTTAAGAAAAGTTTTTGATTTCTTCAACTTCGCTTTCATGGTGCAAGTTTATTCATTTGCTTAGCTCTTTGTTCTCACTGTCACTTTGACCAATTGCTCCTTCAAACTTCGATCTCTTATCGTTAGATGATTTTGTTGCATGAAAGCCGTTCTAGGCAAATTCTTCTAGTTACTGAAATTCACATATCATTTAGTGCGACAGAGTATCATGTTTAGTTTGAAGGAAGATAATGTCACTCTATCCGGGTTTTTTAAACTGATTTAAAGTACGTACTCGTTATAAATCCATGGTATTGTCAGTCAGTATTTATCTTGTATTTGTGAGGAACCAAAGACTGTGTAGAGTTTGCCTTTTTTCGACTCCCTATTACGATTGCCTGTGTTCACGTATGGTTCAATCTCTGACTAAAAGACACGAGCACGCTTTGCGTACTTTTGGTTAACAAGTTTTGAGTGTGTTTCAAAGCATTTTGGTAGATTACCAATATGAATTCATGAAAGAATATGTTCAAGCAGGGATTGCTCAACAAACTCAAACATTTCTTTCATGAAATCCTCATAGTAATTTACCAAAACGCGTTAAACCGCACTCAAAAACTTGTTGATGAATGTACGCACAGCGTGTACGTGTCTCTTAGTCAGAACGAATCATAAGTATGCCCAAGTGGGAGGTTTGTAGAAATTTTTGGGCGAAGATCCGCTAATTTGGTTTCATTATTTCAAACTTTGTCTTTGCGCTTCAGATAATTTCTGACTCTCAAAAGTGCTTAAAAATCATTGTGTAAGGTTACTTGGCTATTATCAGTACTACTTCATAAGCCCTCTAGGCTGTGTCTACAGTTGGACGTGCCAGCATCGTGCTAACACCGTGCCAGCGCCACGTACTTCGTACTGATCGATAGACGGCGCTGACACAACTCTGGACGCAGCTAGCGTTCGCACTGTCGTTGTTGTCCAAAATGTCACTTTCGTTCCCCTAATAACTTAATTAATATTTTTTTCGGAAAGATAAATTATACTTGCTTCAAACTTGTAGAAAACATTTTTTGAGAATCATGAGATGTTATATGTAGGATGATCTGACAATAAGGGAAGAGATTATTTTTTATTAAGTAATGTCTTTTATCGTTTTGAAAAAACTACAATTTGAAAGCTCACTCAAATTTGTATATTGTCTTTTCTATGTGGGACAAAAACTTGTCCTCTAATAGCACTGACCTTTGCTACAGCTGCCATTGAAAGTTCAAACGCCCCCAACAAAACTTCTACCCCAATGTCATGCGTCATCAATCACTCACTCCAGAAGTTCCGTAAATAATGAGGACAACGTTTCTAGCGCTATTCTCACATATAACAGCAATAAGCTCTATCTACCAGACTTATTGAATAACTGAGTCATTTCAAGTAACCGAGAATGGTCTTTGTGCTGCTTCATTAGCTCTGACACAGAGACTTCAGAAAGCCGCACAATTGTGTGTGAATGCACTCAACTTCCTTTGTTGCCGTCGTCTTGCACTTGGTTCCCAACTGATTTGCACAAATTGCCTAGAGGACAGCAAATCCTTGACGCGAATTTCTCGCTGTGTCAATCATTTTCGAGTGTGTAGTTGTACTTTTGCGCTAGTACGAAATGTTTTTTGTTTCGTATTTAACGTAAATTTGCTTCTTTTTCAGTTCAAGATGGCGGACTTGGAAGCCGTTCTGGCTGACGTCAGCTATCTTATGGCTATGGAGAAAAGTCGGAGTCAGCCAGCTGCTCGTGCCAGTAAACGAATAGTCTTACCAGATCCAAGGTATGATAATCAAACACTTTTAGCTCAAACTCATGGTCATTTTTCAATTCATTTATGTTTAATGAAACTCTGCTTTATTATATCCGACTACTATGGGAAAAATGGGAATTTAACATTGTTCCATAACAAAAAAACGCCAAATTCTAATATCCGATCATTTATCTGTCTATGCAAAATTTTGATAGAGTTAATCTGTATCGAATAATAATTATAGAAAAAATAAAAATTTACTAATTGCAAAAACAGAATAGCCTTGACCTTACAAACCTATAAACCAGGGCTCATCACAGCTGGCACCAGGTCAAGATGGATATCTTTTTTGGGACAGAAAGCAAAGGGGATATCATTATGGTGGCCGAGGTATATAAAAAGGGGCCGTTTTTTTAGTCGACGTTTCGTTTTTTGAGGGTTTTTTTTTCACTTCGTATAAGATTTTCAAAATTTCCAAAATCAAAGGATACTTCGTTTCGAAATTTACCGATGCCAGCTCGTGCCGAGTCCTGTTAAAAACTTCCACACTTCCCCAAAAAATAGAGAGATAAAGCTACTCTTGCATGCCGAACATCACACCATTGAAACATTAGGCCAATAAGGCATTCATAACAAACCTATTTGGCAGAAAAGTTCCTAGCTACATTGACTTTCTGCAAATTCAGAGGGTTTATAACTTACCAGCAATAAATATCACCACCAAAAAAGGTCAATAATTTATTGACATATGCAAGCCACTATAAGAAGAGATCGTTATTCTAAGTCTTAAAAACACATTGCTTAGGAGAAAGGTTCTCTTGAAATTTTAATGAGTGGTAAGCGTGATTCAACGCAGTGGTAGAAATTTTCTGGAACTATATAAACTATAGGTATATAAGCTTAATATTATTTTTTCAATCAGTTGTTCTTGAAAACATCTAGGCACCATAGCATATGGAAGGATTGGCCTTAACTTAGATTCGTAGTTTGACTTGACTTATAGTTCCCCTTTTTACTGTAGGATTATGGTAGTAAGCTTACACCCACCCACCCGACGATAAACTAATTGATCGCCATTATGAAATTTCCCTGGAAATTTGAAAACACTCATTTGTTTTAGGATATGCCCAAAGAATAATCGCTGTACTTCATTGTTATTTTGTTTCAATAGTAAAATCAAATTTTCGCAAAATCTAAGTTTACATTATTGGGGGACTCGACATGTGGTTGATATTTATAAAAATCACGTGAACACCACATCGATGGGCATTCAAATGAGCTAAAATTGAATGGCCAATTTTTACTGTAAAAAATGCTCAGTCATGTGATCCTTTTTATATTTGGCAGTATGTGCAGAATGGCAATATCAATATGCTAATTTGAAGCATTGTCTGCAAAATTCGGTCTCCAATTTCATCTTTTCGACTGCTAAGTGGTAGCTATAAATGAGAAGGCATGTAGATATAATATGTAATAGCCACGAGGCCAGAGGAACTTTGTTGTGAAACGTTTATTCACGGAACTATGCCCGGGAATCTTTGGGACTGCATCCAGAGCTGCTAGTATGCCAGTGCCGTGTCAGCGACGTGCCGAAACGGGCATGGACTCCTCTCCCGTATTAATCGATAAAGATTCTGGTGAAGAGCTAGCACGGCGCTGGAGCGGTGTTGGCATTGCAACTCTGGACACATGAAACCATCAGAATATGTATGAATTTGAGCATAGAACTTTTTTTGCAAGAGGAGAATATCTATGTTTAACATCGGGAAAAAATCTCACGGAACTTAAAGCAGGTTGCAAAATTGGGTGATAAGCCAGCAAAGTATTCTGACGTAAATAGTGCGTACCTTCGTAGTTATGAAGTCGAATATATAGCCTACGAAATTATATTCTACGCACTTCAAGGTAGCAATTTTCAAAAATATTTTGTTTATGGGTACAAACACTTTGCATTTCGTCATCCTCTACGGCATTTCTGGTTCTTCTCCAAAATTTCAGAACTAATCAGAAAGAATCGATTAGGAATCTGCTCGTAATGCTGTATAGCGCTAATGTTTCTACTCGCAAATGCGATGAATGATTAAAGCGTTGCGTAGATTAGATCCGCGATGAAGCTTGTCGGGCTACATATAGCATGATGAAAGGATTGCAAATGGAAATGTATGAGGTAGCCGGTGAAAAAGGGAAATGTCAATGCTAAGAGTAAAAGATGGCACTGGCATATAATTGATGGACGCACTTCTAAAAACAGCTAACAATAAGAAGATACATAAATAAGAACACATAAATAAGAAATCACTGCTGTGGAAAACCAATGTGTGAAAGTTTGCGTTCGCATTCAAAAAGAGAATTGAATGCATCCTTTTACGATTTCTAAGTCTCTTTAAGATTCAATTTTATCTCTACAGTATGCTGTCCATCTTCTCGAGAATGCCTAGAGAAACCACTGATTTTGAAATTTTGCACATAGTATCTTCTATAATATGCGTTTATGTGCTTTTGAACATTTTTCCAGTTCTTTATTACCTTTTCTTTTGCACTAAATTTGGAAGTACGAAGTTATAAAAAATCTTCTGAATTTATGAAATATACTTATCAACACACACCAATCCTCAATATACTTTGATACGTGAAAAAAGGACTTGGACAGTAGCATGGAATTTTTTCAGACAAAAATTTGTAATTGAATTTCATCAAAAAGTTTGCGAAGCTTCATAGCTTGAACTTTCTGCATTCGCAGAATAAGCGGCAGTAAAACACTTCGAAGTCGAGATAGGTGTTTTCTATGCTATCAGTTTTCTTGAAAATTTTGCAAACAGCCTTTCATCTCATTTTAAATTTTCGTTTTCATCTTTTCTACAACTTTCGTTCCAAAGGCTGATCTGGATCGAAATCTGAAGAAAAATGTTGTTTTGCCCAAACCTAGGAGATGTAGAAAGTAAGTGGTAGGAAAAGATCCGCAATTCTTTATCAAATTTCCATATTTTCTAGCACTCCTCGAGGTTCTGAGTACGCCACCTGAAAAACAAAACTGAGAAAAATTGTTGTTTTGCCCAAAATCCAAAAATGAGAAAATCCGAAAATGTGCCGAAACATTTCCCTATTATACCACTTTTCTCTATCTCAGCGCAAGAGTTCAAGATCTCGAATTTCCGCTATAAATCCCACTAAATTATTATAATGTAATGTTTGCATAAACTTATCCCGTATTACTTTTGCTATCGTCACGTGCTGAGCTTATAATCACATATGCATCGCCTACCATTTACATTCACTTAGAACTCATGAATATTTTCAGAGCAATAATATGAAAGGATTTTCGTACTCAACGAAGGTTCGAACTCCGATGACATATGGCTAGGGTCGTAAATTTAGAAAGAAGGGAGGAAAATAACTATTATCTTGGAATCCTTGAGTTTGTCGCCAATGTGCCAGAAGCTGAAAATAGATTTTGTTCAACTTCAAGAAAGCCTTACTAAAAATTCTTCAAATGCACCAAGCTGTGATATTCTATGACTTAATTTCAGTGTGCGGAGTATCATGCAGAAATATCTCGAGAAAACGGGTGAAATAAAATTCGAGAAGATATTCAATCAAAGGCTTGGCTTTCTTCTGCTGAAGGACTTTGCCGAAAATGTCACAGAAAATGCATGTCCACAAATAAAGTTCTATGAAGCGGTGAGTTTTACGATACCTCATAACTTACATTTTCTTTCATTTTGGATATTTATATGCAAACACTCACCTAATTTGATACGGATATTAATCGTCGAAAATTCTGGCATAACTCGCGAATTTTCTTAGTTTTCAATATGCATTGTCTCAGTATCTATGTTTTGTAATAGTCTGTGGAAATTCGCAGCAGTAAGATAGCTGTGATCAGTTGTGAGAAGCATATAGTTTTTAAATTCTAATCTGCTTTTTGTCAAACATAACCATACCTTCTTCTCACCCACGCCATCATTTGCTCCTTTCTATGTAAGGTTACAAAAATTTGTGTGAAATATGTATACTTTAGTATTGATTCTGAGGAGCTCAGTTTACTGATAAGGCAGGAGCTTATACAAAGTGATCAACGAATATCTACCTAAACCATGAATTATGGGAAGTTTAAAAGCAAAATCTAAAATTTTTGATTGCTAAAAAGCAAAACTCTGACCAAAACGAAGCTTCCACTTTTTAGCACATGCTTTACACATTAGATTCCATATACAACTCGCTGTATTTTATCCAAGGTTACAGTTCGCGTACTATGCTATTTAGGGTGGATTTTTTTAGCTCAACAGTGGCTTATAGAGGGGGGGGGGAGTTATGTTGCGCATTGCCTTCTTCCACTGTCAATAATTGATAAGCCTCTCAATAACATTATCGGGAGCGTGACTGTTGGGGTCATAGGCAGGAACATCATGTGAAGTATAGTAACGCCAAGACTCTTCAAAAATTACCTCTGCCGCACCTCCTCTTTCCCCCCCCCCCCCCCACTTTTCCAAAATTTCTCGGACTTACATGTGAGTACGCCGCGATTTTGCTCTCTTGTGGCTTCCTTGAATATAAATCTTTGCATTTGAGTCCAAAGAATATATGAAACAAACAAATACTTTGCTACACTGTTGAGCTTACATTCTTCGTACAATAAGCAACAAATCTTGCTTGAGAAAATGCTACGGAGAAATGCTTAACCTTTTAGATCACACCGTCGTTTCTGAGCCAAGCTTTCTGAAAACCATCTCTTTTAATGCATATTAATCAAGCTGAATTGTCAACGCAATGACGTTGAGCGACGTTGACAGTTTCTCATTATTTCAGATCAAAGAATACGAGAAAATGGAGACGCCGGAAGAGCGTTTGACGAAAGCTCGCGAGATTTATGACCATCACATCATGGTTGAGATGCTCGCTCATGCTCACGTAAGTTTATGTAATCTAGTAAATTTGACGATTATTAAATGTGCTTGCATTGGCTACAACATTTGCGCGTGATTCATAGCAGCAGAACTACGGCCGTTCTTTACGCACAAGCCGCAAGTTTCCGGTCTTCGCAAGCATATCATTCACTCCCGCGCAAATGTTGTCGTCACCGCAAGTTCAATATAGTGATCCTCAAGAAGTATTTACTAATTCTAAATTATGCCTCTTCTATTTCAGAACTATTCGAAGGATTCGTTACAACATGTGCAGTACCACCTGCTGAAGGGCAGCGTGCCACCGGACCTGTTTCAGGTGAGCAAGTCTATCCATCAACGCGCGAGCGCTCTGCAGCCGCGCGCGGCGCGCCGCTTGACGACGTGGGCGTTGATGAGTTCCGACGCTTGGATTTACCCGTGCGTCGGCATCGGCCGGCAAAATATGCAGTATTCCAATGCCGCTGTCAATTGATCTTGTCAAGCGCTTCGCTAAGAAAGACGACTTTGTTTTTTGCGCGCGGCAAGCAAAGAGTGCGTTTGGCTGTCGGACATTCGAGATAACTTTTTTAAGGCAGCATTCAGTATCGCGCTCATTATGAACAGTGATGTAAAGCGCTTGCAGCAAGGCTTTCGTTGCTAGAGGGGTATGTAATGGAGTGAAGAGATCGAACTTCTGCCAATAAAAAGCGCTATCATCAAAAAATTTTAATCTGATTCAGTAGCGCAGTGAAGCCAATAAACAAGGAGATATGGACAGAATTCGAAATTGGTCATAGTTTTGATAGCGCATCTTTATTCAGCAGATAACTAAACTTTTTGCAGTAAACAGCTGCTGTTACTGTCGGCTAATGAAAAAACACTCATATTTTTAAAGGAGGATAAATTTCCAAGTAACCACTAACACAATGAGACTCACTCTAATTATAGAAGATACTAACCTCAGAGAAAACGTTTTCCTTTTCTCAGTTTTTCTGCTGTATCAAAATGAATGTTCCTTGAGACGCACTTACAAGTACAACTACAAAACCATAGTTGTACTCGCGAAATTTTGTAGTATGCAAATACATAAGGGAAAAGAATTTAGAAATGTTATGAGAAAAATCGCTGTGATTTTTTTCCTAAGGTATCTAAGAAATTGAAAATGTTGTTTTCATCTTGAACAACTTTTTCCTAGGCCTAAAATCTGCTATACTTTCTTTTATACTTTGAGCTGCACCCGTCTCCCATGTCCAGCGTCGTGTTAGTGCCGCGCTAGCGCCGTATCAGCTCCCATGTGGAAGCGCCGCGTATCGATTGATTGATGGCGCTGGCCTGATGCGGGCACGGCGTTGGCAAAGGACTATGAATGCAGCCAAAGCTTTGGATAAGATACAAGTACAAAGCGCGTGCTTCCCTTTCTCGCTCACTCAGCACAGCTCATTAATCATGTTGTGTCAGATGACACGCGAGCAATTCACACGAGCACAAACAAAGCTGCAAATCAGGTGCTTAGCAACAGCAGCGCAGCGATTAATGTGATCGGAACTTGGCTAACCACACATCGTTTCAGAGATATGTGATCGAGATATGCGACCAGCTCAAGGGCGACATCTTCCAGCGTTTTCTAGAGAGGTTTGTTTTCCATTCTCTGGGAGCTAGGTGTTTTTGACGGAGCAGGTCGAACGCTGCATGCTGAAATTGCATCAGCTCCGTACACAATGGCCATCGTCAAGCGCCGCATCGCCAGCACTCGAAACGAGTCAAAATGAACGTTTTTTCTCATGGTGGAAGCGCAGATTGACAGCTTTCATCAGTAGGAATGAGAGAGCCTGGATGGGGGTGTGAGGAAATGCATGAAGCTCTGCGAAGAGTTGGGGATCCATTAAAACTGCCTATCAACCTAGAAACTAAATCGTTTTTGAAGGCTAAAATTTGAGAAGTATCCATGTATACATAAAACTCACTTCTGTTCTCCACCTTCTATTCTTAAAGAAAACAGTTAGCTCTTTTTAGCGAAATCTCGATTCAAGAACCCCTTGGTAACCCAAACGGTCATGTAAAAAACACAAACTACTGATCACTGAATTACAATAACTTCAGCATTTGCTGATATCAGCCACCAAAAAGCTTTCGGGTTTATCGGAGCGGAAACAAAGCTCTCCCAAATGCATTAGCAATCTGCATTTTTCGGAAGCTTCATACTCGCAGAGGGGGCGGGGGCTGGTCGTTCTAATCTCGACCTTTCTGTATTCTTTTATTTTGTAATCTAATCTTTCGAAAATCTCTGGTAGTTACTTTGATGCGAAAGCAAATCATGCCCTTCAAAACACATGCAAAGCACTTTGAAACTCCCAACATTTCCAGGGGGTTGTTTTATCCTCTCTTTCTATCGAGCTTGCCAAAAATATTATCCTGGAAAGATAGGATTGGTTTCAAGAATAAGATTTTCCTCTATAGCAGTATAATATTAGACATAAATATGATTATTCGTGCCGAGAACTTCAAAAAAAAATTCTAAAACATTTATGATGGTTTACGTGCATTCTCGAGCAATTTGATGTTTTAGTGATAAATTCACACGATTTTGTCAATGGAAGAATTTGGAGCTGAATATGCAACTTACTATGAACGATTTCTCAGTACATCGAATTATTGGTCGAGGAGGATTCGGGGAAGTGTACGGGTGCCGAAAGGCGGACACTGGAAAAATGTGAGTACAACGCGAAAAATTTTTTCGCTGTTTCAGCAGAGATAGATTTTTTCCGAGAACTTCTAGTGGCTAGCAAAAAATTAATTGCTGCTTGCCAAATGCAAGAATTAATTGCTTTCGCGCCCACTAATTGGCTTCGAAAAGCTATTTTCCAGGTATGCCATGAAATGTCTGGATAAGAAGAGAATCAAAATGAAACAGGGAGAGACACTGGCTCTAAATGAACGCATCATGCTTAGCCTTGTTTCTACGGGGGTAAGTAGAATCTTCTACTTATTTAAAGATAGGTCCGTTAATCAAAAACTGCGAAATTTACTATCTAAATAAGGTGATTTTTTTAGAACCTGCAGAGAGGCCTCTACTCAAAAGCTTTTGAAAAGAATTTTTTGGCCAAAAACTCCTCAAAATTGCTCTAGAAGAATGTATGAGCCATACGCAAAAAATTCATGTTTTAGCTTTGATTTTTTGAACCGAATTTTATTAGTACAGCTGGAGTTTCGATCATTTGAAAAAATTGGCTTCAAATAACATCTTTGCTTTACAATTGAAAGTGTGCAAAGGCTTGATCGACATATTTCTATAAAAAATAAAATTTTGAAAGTAAAAAATTCCTATTTGATTGGCGGACTCAGATATAAACTTTCATATACATCCGTTTCTCTTCTTGCCCAAATTTTTTGCTTTTCAGCAAGACTGCCCTTTTATTGTATGCATGACGTATGCATTTCAAACACCCGACAAACTTTGTTTCATCTTGGATCTCATGAATGGCGGAGATCTTCACTATCACCTTTCTCAGCATGGCGTTTTTACCGAACAGGAAATGCTTTTCTATGCATCAGAGGCATGTTTCATTCAAAACTCGCTTTCCACATCAACAAATTCAAACGAATTTGCAGGTGATTCTTGGTCTCGAACATATGCATAATCGCTATGTTGTGTATCGCGATTTGAAACCCGCAAATATACTTTTAGACGAAAATGGACATGTAAGTTTTTAGAGTGAAAAAATCATGTACCTTTCTATTTGTAATTTTTTTAGGTGCGGGTGTCGGATCTGGGTCTTGCATGTGACTTCTCCAAAAAGAAACCGCATGCGAGCGTGTAAGTTTTTTTTTTTCGAAAATTTCATTTTCCACGATTTGTATGAATCACTACATACGTTTTTTACTCAACTGACTCTTTCTTTTCCTCTCTTGATTTTTTCAAATAATCTGACACTTCCTATCATATCTCTTCATTTTGTATGCAAAGCACCATCCAGAGTTGCCGCAGCTGTGCCAGCGCCGTGCTAGCGCCTTGCCGGATCCGCGCCCACGCTCTGTATTGATCGATCGCGCTGCAGCAACTGTGGATGCAGCCTAAAAGAAATCATTATTTGATACAACCATTTCAGAGGAACTCATGGATATATGGCACCAGAGGTGCTTGCGAAGGGAGTCGCTTACGATTCCTCAGCTGACTGGTTCTCTCTCGGTTGTATGTTGTATAAACTGCTCAAGGTAATCTCCCTCCCCTTTTTTTACAGCGAGTCACAATAATTTCATTCTTGTAGGGTCACTCTCCGTTTCGACAGCACAAAAGCAAGGATAAAAATGAAATCGATAAGATGACGTTAACGCAAGACATAGAGCTGCCTAATGAGGGATTGTCACCAGAATGTCGTGATCTCTTAGAAGGATTGCTAAAGCGGGATGTGCCGGATAGACTTGGATGCAGAGGAAGAGGGTAAGAATGTTTCCATCAGAAATGGTTTATCTTCCCTTCTCGGTCACTCAACAAAATTTTGATTTTTAGCCCCTCAGAGGTAAAAGAACATGCATTCTTCCGTGAAGTTGACTGGCAGACGGTGTATCTACGTCGCATGACTCCACCTTTGATTCCACCTCGTGGTGAAGTGAATGCTGCTGATGCATTCGATATCGGAAACTTTGACGATGACGAAGTCAAGGGAGTGAAGGTATTTTAATGATTGCATCTCCATTTCTTTTCAATGATTTGATTTTGATTGGCGATTATTTTACTGTATTTTTCACAAGCGCTCTACATTGCTTATTTTAGCAGCCACTTTGTGTAGGTGCACCACTTTTGAAATTTCGCAGGGGCAGGCCGGGTGAGAGTTACAATTAAAGGCAGTGTCCGGGCAAAAACTCGATTTTGAGGCAAACTCATCGTGCAATCACACAGACAATACACATACATGAGAAATGTGAATTTGCACAAAGTGACTGCTATAGGAAGGAATCTCATTGTGTTTCTTTTATTAAACCCAACTTTGTTTTTCTCCAACTTCATTGTTTGAAGTTGGTCCGTCATTCTTTACCAATAATGTGGTACTTCAGTTGGCTGAATCGGACAGCGAGCTCTACAAAAACTTCAATATTGTGATTTCGGAACGATGGCAAAACGAGATCGCGGAGACAATCTTTGAGGTTAGTTCTTGGTTTGATTTACTTTGATGACCTAATAAAAAGCTTACAGTTTTTTGAAAACCTAGAATCAATTTCATTACACATAGATCAAAATCTTGGCAAAATTCAAAACTTACTTAGGCCATTTTGAAATTCCGCGGCCTAGTTAATGGATGTATCTAATTTCAGGTTGTCAATCAAGATGCAGACAAAGCTGAAAGCAAAAAGAGATCCAAACAAAGAGCTAAAATGAATGTCGACGAAAAAGGTACATTGACAAAGCTCTCGTGATTTTCAAAAAAAGAGGGAAATAAACAAACTGAATATCATCCCTATCGAACTTTTCTAGATTCTGACGTTATTGTTCATGGTTACATCAAAAAACTTGGCGGACCTTTCACATCCGCTTGGCAAACCCGTTACGGTAAATTGTATCCCTCTCGACTGGAACTCTATCCAGAATCTCTTAGCGGAAAACCGGAGGTATAACATCTTACTGAAGCTCAATAAAAAAACAAATAATATTGATTCCAGCTGGTGTTTATGGACCAAATTGAAGACGTCTGTGCTGACTTGCAAACCGTAAAAGGAGAGAACGCTATTGTCGTCAAACTGCGTGATGGGTTCAAGGAACCGCGAATTAGCTTGACAAACTCGGTAAGCTTACAGAGCAGGCATTTTGAGGTTGATATATGGTGCTCTTCTTGCTAGCAACATTGTGCGAAAGAAATGATAGCTTTTTGTGGCCGTTCTTAGGCTGCGTCTAGAGTTGCCGTGCCAGCGCCGTGCTGGAACGCCAATCGATCAATGCGCAGCGCATTCACATGGACGCTGCCAAGGCGTCAGCACGGTGCTGGCACGTGGGCAACTTTGGACGCAGGCCTTACGCGCAAGTTGCAAGCGAGTCGTCGACATTTGCAAACATGGCCCTCATTTTCGCCTATATATTGTCTTTACCGTAGGGGCACTATAACGCTTAAACTCAATGAACTGCGCTCGGATTGATAAAATTGGACGCTGTTTTTGCAGGACGAGATTTCGCTGAAAGAATGGCACACATCGCTACGAACCGCCCACAAGGTTTCGTCCGAGTTGTTGCAACGAATGGGACGAAAAGCGATCAAGATCTACGGTGTAAACCACGACCCGATGCTGAATGAAGCCGAACGACCTGCTTCTGTTTCAAAGTACATGAACAGAGCGTCCAGTGTCGACTCCACCGTGTGACGACCACGTCGCGACCCCAACCGCCTGTACAAAGCGCGAGCGCGTAGAGATGTTTAGAATGCGTTGCGATTCTGCTATATCCAAGACGGGAATATTCACCCTCTGGCAACCTGCCTCTTCTCTCCAGTCCAGCCGATCTGGATTTTGCGAACACCGAAAACTAAAGCAGGGGTATTGGGTATCCAGTGACTCATCTCTGTTTTGAATTGGGTATTTATTGATGTCTGACAGCTGCACAACTCTGTTTCCCCGAATCTTCACGTCTACCCAATACATTGCGCGTCCAGCGACACTCACAGCAGTCAGTAATCCCGGACATATCATCCCATTTCCTTTGCAAATACATGTCTTTCACGATGTTCTTGGCCGCTACTCTCATCACGTGGTGGCAGTGGAGATCTCGAATTGTGTAGATTCTGGTGTGATAAAGTTTATGATGTCATTTCTTGCAAATTTTTCATAGTATGTTCGAGAAAAAACCTTGCAGTTACAGCTTCACTCAGTAATATGGCTTCATTCAACGGAGGCAACGCCTAGGTTCCCCCACAATTTTGGTTATTTCAGGCTTATTCGTAACCAGATTTACGGAGTTTAAAAAGCGAAACTAAAAAGCGAAACCCTTGAATATGATCTTTTTTGATACATTTTCTCGTGGACGATTATTAGGTTAGTCTTGTCAGCAGCAAGCAGAAACTCACATTGACAATAAGCGTATTCGTGCTTGCCATGTCAAAACGAGTCACGGAGCAATCGTCGAATGGGCGGGATCACTGTTACGTCCACCAAAAGGGGCGTGGTCGTGAACGATGGGCACGAAGAATGAATAGAAGTTGTGAATATATAGGGGCCTGCAGGATCGCGAGAGTCGGACGTGCGTACGGCCATTGCGCCGCGCACGTCAGATGCGCGTCCGATGACTCAGGTAGGTGCCAGACTTATCCTGTTCAACAGGTTCATTCGGTTCACCACCTTTTCTATGGACAATGCAGTGATTTGACCCATGAGCCGAACGAACCGGTTGAAGCGGATGAATCTGGCACCTGCCCTAGTGACATCAGACGTGCGCGGCGCAATGGCCGTACGCACGTCCGACTCTCGCGATCCTGCAGGCCCCTATACCCTGCGAGCGTGAAGGAGGAATTCAAGGGGCAAGGGCTCACGTTCGAAAAAATCCATATACCTGCTGTCAAACAAAAAATTTCAAAGGTATAAATCATAACAATTCAAACTTTTGGGCTGAAAATCGCTGTAACCATTGAGACAATCAATGAATAAGTGGAAATGGAGAGCTATACACTAGGATAAATCGCAACACTTCAAAATCAAGAATGTTGAGAACTTCTAAGCAGGGCTCGGCACAGGTAACTGGGTAGAGGACTATATGTCGCCGAAAAAGGGCGGTCCTCGCGGTCATTTGCGACAAATACGCACTCTTGTACATGTGCGGACATGCGTTCCTGCAGGGAATCCGCGCGGGCTTCCAAAATCGGCGACATATAGTCCTCCACCCCAGGTAACTTAACACGTTTCGGACCGCGAAATCGCGCGCGGCGAAAAGAGGGTACCTTCAGCCGTTAGCCAACAAAGGGACCTCAATTCGTATACTGTGTGCTACATCTGTGATCAACATGTCAGATAAGATCCATATCCACAGTTTTGTGTGGATTGGAAGGGCTTGAATTGTCGCTTAAGAAGAACTTTTGTGCTTTCCTGCAAGATTGGAACAAGAACTCAGTTTCTAATTGTATCCAAAAATATCTATGTTGTACACGATACATATCGTCTCTTTGAATTCGAAGCAAAGAAAAGTTGCGACGTCGCACGCGTCGTTCGCGTTGCCGCACTTAGTTGCAACTGTTGTTCGAATTGCCCTCATATCTTCTAAACAAATATCGACGGCACAGCCTTACAGAGTCATTTCAAAAGGAGGAGCTTAGACCTTTGATTTGATGACCTTAGACAAAAAGAAAACTTCCTGCAAACACTAAAAAGATCCTTGAAAGGCGCGTGGTGCACCATGTGCAGCACCGTCCGAAACGTGTTAAGCAAGTTGACGTTTTTTTGGACAAAAAGCAGAGGGGTATCGTTTTTGAAGACGAAAATACACAAAAATTGCGAAGTTCTTTTTTCTAGTCGACGTCGTCTTTGATGCTTTTTTTACGTTTAGGGTATGGGATCAAAGGGGACTTCTAAAAATTCGCGAAAGTCAAGGGGGATTTTGTTTTTTGCCATTTCCAAAAGCCACCTCGTAGCGAGCGCTGCTTCTAAGGCATTGAGGGACGCTCAGTTCGTACAAAAATTCCATATTTCAAAAGGTAAGAGTTAACAAAACTCAAGCAATGAGGGTTTGAAAGTGATAATATTGAGTTGGCGACTGGCATGTTGTGGCGCCGGAGAATGTCACTACCTAGCCGTATGTCAGACAAAGTGTAACAATCTAGGTATTTTACATTCTCTAATTATTCGTAGAAGTCAAGGCAGACATGTGCGCACTGAGAATAAGATATAGCATTTACAATTTTTTTTCAGTCAAGCTTCTTTTTTGAGCACACAGCACAGAAAATGTAGAATTCAATCCGTCTCATCATTTTTTATAGGAGGACCGTGTGATACGTTATGCGGCAAAAAGACTGCTCCTTCCACGTTTCCACCAAAGATAGACTTCGAGAGAACTTTCTGGCTACAGCTTGATTTTCTGCCGCCCATATGCGTGATCACTTTTGATCTACTACCGTATAGCATTGAACTACCTCAATTCTTCCACGACACCAAACCACCTTCAGTATTCACGATGTTTCTCAAGCACGCTCTTAATGATTCGGAATTTTTGATCTGAGTAATCTACAGTCTTTCGGAAAGTATAAATGGAAATTTCCCACGATTCTGGAGTGTTATGCATGAAACTGAACCTTATTTCGAAGCCTTTCCAAACCACGCTTAGTGGCATTATGCTTCCTTCCCCTTCTTGAAAAAATTTTCCACGATGCTGCTGTGCTCATGCATCACTTACAACAATAAGAACAGTCTCCATGAAGTCTGAGACCGCCGGAATTCTAAATGATCAGTTTTGACAGCGTCGTCAGCCATTCCACAAGGAAACTTTAGATAACAGATCCAACAGCGCCTTTCTGGGCAGTACCAGCTTCTACTCGACTATCGCCTGTCTCCAAAATAATATCAGCCCCCACTACACTACGCATTTCGTTAAGGAAAATGAAGCCATGTACCTGAATATGGAAACGTCGAAGGGGGTCAAGAGGAGATGCCTGTGCCAATGGCGATACATAAACGATGTTCAACAGCAATACACTGCAGTATTCAAGGTAAATAGGGTTATTATATGCGCAATAGTGCTGAGCTAGTCTTTGAATCCTGTATTGAAAATAATTTATTAGTAGAATCAAGCATAGTACATAATCTGCATTACAATATGCATCAAAAGATCACAATGAACAAAGCAGAGCCATTGAAAGTAAGATATTAGCGTTCATCTATTGCGACATACAATCATGCATAAATAAATATAAACAAGTAAGGCGAATCACTTAGCTTTCTGCAATCGCTCCTCGAGGGAACTAATCTGCTGTAGTACTGCATTGATGTCCTCTTTTGCTTTGACCTGTGTTTGATAGTAGATAGCAAAAAGAGTGAGAAGTAATCAAGAGTTATGTATATATTGACTTTTCAAAATCACTCTCTACTGTAGCGAACTTAAATACGAAAATTCCTAAATATTATGGTAACAAATGAAACTCTATCAAACTTAAAAATGAGCTTTATGTCTCTTTTGGACGAATGCTTTCGTTACTGCACGGACTCCATCCTCACATACATAATGACTGTATTTTATTGATCATAATGCCCATGAACTGTACATATCGAAATATTTGAAGTAATTAGCTAACAGATTCTTTGCGCTGATGCTCACAAAGTCAAAAATATCAAGTTTCTGGTAAGTTACTTGACAAACCTGAAGTTCGCATATAGCCATACGATCAGCGGCAATGGCTTTCTCTATCTGATCACGTACCCCAACCAATTGTGAAAGCCTTTCCGAAAAATGTTGAGCTAAAAAAAATTTCCCTGCAAAAAATTCAGGTAAAGAACGAAACCCGACCTTGTTCATGTAATCGATGCAATCCTTGCAGCTTTTTGAGATTACTAGGCATAGCAACGCAAGCGACATCCCATTTACTCATGAGTTCGAGTAAATCGTTCACTTTTGACTCCATTTCGCCGTCTATTGACTTTTGCTTTTTATCCTCAACCTAATAAAAAATAAAAAATGAGCATATAGTCAAAAACTTACGAGCACTCAAGCAGAAAGAATGGGTTACCTGGTCAAGTTTTGAGATCAATGCATTCAGTTTCGTCTCCATTCCTTCAATGTAAGTCGGATTGAGTGCCTCGAGTCGGAAGCTGGAAATAGAACATGAAAGAGATCAAATGGCACAGTAAGAAAGGTCCAAAGTGCATTTTTCATAGACACGAAGTGTAGCATATACGCAAACATACCGTATATCTTCAACAGCGTCTGCAATGGACTGTCGAGCTGGATCATACGTGCCAACCAACGACTCAATTCGGCGAATGCGTTGCTCCAAGGAGAGAAGCTGGAAAATTTGTGAAACTGATGTTGATAATCTTGAATTCAACATCAACAGTACTTTTGCATTCGAAGACTTGTCTACGTTTGGTGCGGCTCCTTCTTTGCCGGTCGGTTGTACGGCAGCTCCCGATGATTTGGAAACTTTCACAGACTAGAAAGTACCTTCACTGAAGAGAAAAAAGGATAAACACGATTCAATTGGTACCTTCAACTCATCCGTAAGATCAGCAAGAGAAGTCTCGTTCACAGTGAGGGTAGGCTTTACCGTTTCATCCTAGATAAATACTAAAAGCAGCAAAAATAGGCAAATTGCGTAGAAAAACCTTCAGTTGCTGTGCCAGTTCATCAATCTCACAAGCCAGTCTGTTGTATTTCTGTTCAGCAGTCTCCGGTTCAGCAAATTCTGGAAAAGATCTTTCAAAGTTGGCAGCCGCAAAGGCGAAAGCTTCTGACTCGAAACCATTAGAATAAAGACTTTTCTTACTTAGAACACTCTCATACGAACAAATGACGCCCTTTGACTATATTCGTCGTGGAAAAAATACTATGTGTACATTCAGTTTTGACAACGGAACAAGCTCCCTAATGATGACAAACACGAAAAGTTTTGAAGATAGGAGCAGCAATATTTTCTTTTATTTCATAAGCCCTGAGCACTCAGACTATATTTGACAAAAAAGTCAAAATTTGCTGAGAGCGGTGACAAAACTTTCAAGTATATGATAGCTCAAAGATAAAAGCATAGCGCATGGAAGACTCGCGAAGGAGCTCATAAATTAGGCTGAAATGAAAGGGAAATATACAAAACTGTAAATGTCAAAAGGAGGAAATCCTCACCTTTGCCAACAACCTCCAACACGTATTGTGTACTTCCATAAGATTTACCTCGCCTCCTCGCGATGGAGTCAGAAAAGTCTGGTAACACAAAGATGAGGAGAAACGTAAAAATCAGGCGACTAATGCCATACCTATGTTTCGGGTGTTCAATGTGCTGTCCTTAAAGCGCTTACGAGCCGCATTAATGTCTATGTGTATCTGTAAACGTTTTTCAGAGATTAACAACAAACCAAATTTCGATCTAGAGGACCTTACAATGTTCATGAGTATGGTCACGGATAGAACTTTTTTTTTCAGAGCGACCAAACAGACTGCGTCACATGCTTATGAGCTAAGTTCTCTTACATGCTATCAAACTTTCGCTGCAAAGAAGTGACGCTTGCCACAGTTTGTTCATTGCCAGCGTCGCCTATTGTACCACACAGTGTCAACCGTGTTGTGTATTTTAAGTGTGTTTTTAACAGGCTTGCTTTGATGAAATGTACGGCATATACATAGCGTGTCTGCGGGTATATGTTAAAGACTATCATCCTTTTTTATATAAGTGCTATCATTTGGTGCGCTTTTAATGGTATAAAACGCTATAAAAGATGTAAATTTTCAAAGAGGAATTCTTCCAGAGGTGAGATGAGAATATAGATGTAAGGCAAAACCGATAATACCGCAAAACCGCAATTTTGAAAATGGATTAGTTCCCCAATAGCTGCGACGGCAGATGGTGACTGCTAACAGCTAGTAAGACAGAGCACTTTGATTGTTGATTTTGAAGCGTGGTGAGATGGAGCTCTGAATTGTTGTTAGCCGGAGAAATCGCGTCTTTTGGCTCTGCCTATCGGCTACCCTTTTCAGAAAGTATAAATAAGCAAAAATCAACTGGCACATGCTTGTTGTTATTAGTGAAAAATGAGAAATAAGATTATCCATGCACTGCACACCTCTACATCGCCAAATGAAGCAGAATTACGAGGAGCGACTGACCAATTCAATATTTTCCTGATCACTTGCTTCTTCGTTTGTACGTGCATTGAATCCCGCAAGAAACTGCTCAGATTCTGGCAGATCCTCGCTTTCATAAACATCCTCTTTTCCGGAAACGGACATTTAACTGAAAAAATCTGACGCAGATTAAGACACAGAAGTGCGAGGAGTTAGTGCGGTAAAGGCATGCTTAAAAGGACAAAGAATTTAAGAAACGCGCTGACTGTCAACACATTTCAGCGGGCACCACAGTGAATTAATTTTTGCGATTCCTTGCTCCAAGGCGAATTCAAATCATTCGCCGCGCGGCGTGTCATCAGTTTGTGTACTAGAGCATATCAGACTGAGAAAAATCAAATCTTTTGAGTTCGAATGTCCTTTGTTAGTTTATCTTCAAGATGCTGTACAATTCTCAGGGCAACATCTTCTTTAAGTTCTTCTGTAAGGCACTGCTAGAAGAGCTCCTTAAATTTCCAAAGAGAGAGAGACGTTTCCAAATCACTGGAGTTTGGTTGCTGACTTCTTTTAGACCGGCCATGCTATTCTAGGGTGGTTCCTGCGACTCCTGTAATTCCTGCATTTCTTGGGATTCCTCGACTTCCGATGTTCCGCACTACGGAGCACTTTGCGAATTTTAGTATACCTTGTTTTTTTTGCAATACAAATTGTTACGGGACCCGCAGCAATAGAGGAATCACAGGAGTAGTATGGCCGGTCTATTGAGGCATCGTCCACCAAATTGAGTGCGATGAGTCTTCAGTGCTGTATAATAGCGGTACCTCAAAGCCGAAGTTTCCGACAAGATGAGCACCGAGGAGAGAAAATTTGTATTATACAAGTAGGAGTGGCGATGGCGACAATTTATGTGGGTGGTCTGAAATAATGAGTTTGGAAGTGGCTTCAGGGTGAGTAGAAATGGCAGAAATCCTATAATGTTGGGGGCGCATTTGTTACAATCCTAGATCATCAAATTGTTATCTTTACACACCCACTGGGCGGACCGTCGTCGCTGCTGCTGTTTTCTGAAGCAGTTTTCTCGCTTCAGAATTCATCTTTTACAGCGTTACTTGGGCGGTCGCTTAGTTAAGGGCTGCGCTGTTATGAAGCATCAAGATCCACCATCCCCAGTTTAGGTGAAGGAGCTTCTGAGGCTTTTCTAGATCTTTTATAGCTGGTACTACAAGTTTGGCGGTCACTTTGACTTTATATATAATCTTGATGGCTGCAAGGTTGTTCTTCATGTGTCATTACTCCAGAGTATGTCAATGGAAGAGTTCCTCGAGTTCCGGAAGCAGCTGGCTGCATCCGTGCTGCGACTGAAGCAAGACGTCCGACGTTATCCGGTGTTTAACTCTGATTTCAGTCGCCGAAGAGCCCCGGAAGTTGAGGTAAGATAGACTTTCCGCTTTCCTTATCTTGTCTTCGTTGTTAGCACATTGTATTTTAGTTGAAGGAAGCATTATCTATTTATTTATTTATTTATTTTTATTTATTTATTCATTATTATTTATTTATTATTATTTATTTATTTATCAAATGCATCGTAAACGATGCACTTCATAAATAAATAAATTGATTATTTGATTTATCATTTGATCTTATTTTCGACTTTTGGTGTGGAAATTCTGCAACACGTGTTAAAGATGGTAATTATTGCATGACAGGTGTTTGCGCTGTTTAAGCTACTTTTATGCGATCGTGATCTGGCCTCTCAGTTCTGCTTAAAGCATCAACATATACATTTTGAATTCATGAACGATATTAAGAAACAGATTCTAGTTTAAATATGCTTTCTTGAGCTGCATTTATTTGTAGTCTCAAGACAATGCCGAGTTTTTAGGGAAACGAAACACAAAGGACAGAGTTGTGGTTAGGAAAGAAACTCGAATCTGCGGAGATTACAGTTAGTTCCTTTTTTGCTTTATTGCACTTTTCCAAACTACTGGTCCTAGTCAAGCGAAAGATGCTGTATAGCAATGAGGTTTGGCCCTAGCTGGCTTCGTTGCAATCGGAAGCGTTCGAGAAAAGTTTTGAACGCTGAGTTGGAGAAGATTGCACTCCTGAAGAGGCTTAACATCGCTATATCAAATGAGGTTTGAATAGCAAGAAGAATTCAGGTCGTCTTTTTTGAATGACTAACGTTTTAGGATCCTCACATGGGCATTTGTCTCTTCCATTGGCGTATGATCAAGTACAAGCGGCCAGGTGTTACATTGACGAACGACCAGCTAAGAGCCTGGGAAGCGACTGAGTCTCGGTCAGAAGATTCCAATGAAGACTCGGTAAGCCGCACTACTTTCTTATCCTTCATACTCACGAGTTTACAGAGCGATGTTGTTCTAGCTGAAAGTACCTCATCGTCTGATCATGAAGATTCCGAGGATGATGCAACAATCGAACAGAGCCGGCAAAGTAGGTTTTATGAATCGGGTCCATTTGATTTTTGATCTTTTCATCTATGCAATGAACTTGTCTACGTAATATGATCAATGTTAATTACAATTTTTAACTGAGGTGGTCTTCTTTGATTGGTGATTTTGATCTGTTGTAAAAAACGTCACCTTATAGTGATTCTCTCCTACATAATCCATGTGATTGTGGAGTCGTTTGGGATCATAAATATTTTCTAAGTCTACTTTTCAATACAGATATCTAGGTACATCCCAAAAAAGCAAATTGAATTGGCGTGAAATGGATCTGAAGCAAAAGAAAACAAAGCCAACTGATGAAGCAGGCGAGGAAGGCGATGAACATAGAGATAGTGAAGAAGATGAGAAAGTTAGTCGAACTTTGCGAACTTTTCCAGTTTGAATGTTATATTTCAGAGTGGTTTGTGGACGTTGTCAGCCGCTAGTCTCCGTCGGTATAGAAAGTTTTTCATGATACCCACGAAAGCCAGTGCAAGTAAACATGCGGTAAGTTCCCAATTTGTTTGTAGTTCTCTAGGCTTACCGTAGTCCAAACTCTAAAAGATGTCTGAATAGTTACATCATTCTTACGTGTTATTTTCATCTCTTCTCACAAAAATCATTCGAATTCGGATGCTATGTTGGGATTAGCAGCTTGAGCTTAAAGGCACCGTCCACCCAAAATCTCGAGTTTAATGTTTCTGTCGCCCTCAGGCCTTCTGAAAGCTCTGATTCCGAATATGGAGTCGAAAATCCGCGAAACCCCCAAAAATCCCTGTTTCGAGAACCCTTTGCAACAAGCGCAGGCGAGATAAAGCATGTAAGTGGGCGGGACGACCCTGGTCGCCCCGCCTACTTTGCTAATTCCGGAGAGGATTTCTCGCTCCAGAAGCAGTCTTTTGTGGCGAAGCTTGGGGGTTTGTCTAGTGTGGGGGCCCACACTAGTATGCCATCATAATCTCGCCAATCTCCATTTTGGGTGGACAGTGCCTTTAAAGTCGTTTCATCAATAGAAACATCAATTTTAGTTCAAGTATACGGATATTGAGCATAGCTGAGAGATGTTTACACTGAAGTTTTGAGGATACAAAAATGGTGGTGTTTACCTAGGTGTTACCATGAAATCTTGCTCTTGTAACATCCTAAGGCCTTTCCTTTACTACAGTAGAATTTACGCTTCATAGCTTGGTTCTTTCTTCCTTGCTCAATGCCTTTTTCATTGTTACCCTTTTCGAATCACTCCTAATTTATTTTCCAGATGCTAGAAGGTGTCGAGAATCATTTCGAAAGGCTGCCGGTGCGAGCAAGTGATGCTATAGTCCATTTCATCTACGTAGCCAAAAATCGGATGAATACTATTGAATAAATCTTTGTGCATAGTCTTGATGTAATTAACCGTTGCAGTGATTTCGTTGATCAATAATCAGTACACCACAAATCAAGTTGCACGAAGCCTTTTATTTAATGTCTGCTCGTCTCAAGCGTGAAACGATTAACAAGTTATTGTACAAACTATATTCGTACGAACACTGAACGAGAATAGCAAAAATTGGATGCATTTATCTAGTATGTTTCAAGAGTGTGGTCTTATGAAAACTCGAGAGCTCCACCGAAGCTCACCGAAGTTTGCGAGTTGCCATAACTTGGTTCAGGGCGGATGTATTATGAATCCAAGGGCACCGTTCGATTCAACTCGGTTCAATTCAACGCGCATCTTCTGATGTATTGAAAATGCTCATTCAGAAGTTGTGCGTGGTAGGCTGTCGATTTTACAACTTTTTAGATTTTGCTTACAGTAAGTTGTTTGTCCACTGAGCTTATTCATTGTACATTGAGTAGCCTACCGTAGTCAAAAGTGCATGAATTCTGAGCACCTACTACAAACGAGGAATTCTATGTGTCAGAAGATGCGCCTTGTCGAGCTGAGAGAAATGATGGCTCAAATTTAGAATTCGTTTTCTTTAAACCAAGATTTGGCGATGCAACGCGATCGTTGAACTACGGTGGCCTTTTTGGCCATTTAGGAGCGGTACGTAGTTTGTAAAGCGAAGATGGGTCTGCTTCATTCCAAAGGTGATGATCATCATAAAACCCTTGTAGAAACCATGGACGCGGAAGATGCGTGAAAGCAGTCGTTGAAACATATTAGCTCAAAACATGTTCTCTTAAGGTCTAAGGCATACCTCAAACGATTTGACCAAATCGCGACGTCGACGCGACTTGGCATTCTGCCAGTTTTTACAAATTCATCGTGGGCGGTTTTCAAGTATCTACGTAGGCGCGTGGCTTTTGTAAGTTCTTGGAAACGGATCACGTCCTGTTCAAACAAACGGCGGTAACGACGAATTACGAACAGTCGCTTCTGTGTCGAATCGCGCATCGACTGAAATCGTGTGAAGTATGCCTTAGGCCTAACGAATAGATATGACTTGTACTCGAATTACTGGGCTTTTCATCTCTCCCTGCTCTATTTTCCCACTAAAGAGATTGATATCCTTCTTTCAACATAGCAGGGGGTGATGCGGTCGTGATTTTTTCAGAAATCCAAAATTATGGGATCAACGATCATGTTTTGTCGTAGCAACAGAAATGTCTGTATTCCAATGTCTAACGAGATGCTACTTTCTGATATTAGGTTTAATTTCGGTGACAAGAAGAAACTGTTATGTTTTCCAAAATTGTTCGAGGAATGCGGCTCTTCTTTGTAGCTCAAGAGCAGTGGTTCTCAGTAGTCACCCTCTATTCATACTCAAACAAACCGCTTTTTTCTTCGAGTAAATTTTGTTCCATGTGGTCTAGTTCATTGTTTCACTTTTTTAATTAGTTTGCGGGTGGTTAATAAGTTTGCAATAGAAGCAATGTATTTATGCCATATGGACCAACCGTAGAAGCCAGAAATTTGTTATCCTTTTATAAAGTTAGAAAATCTGATATTTTTCATGACTGGCTGACTTCGCTGAAGGTATTCTTCGTATCGGTTAAGTGTAGTTGGTGTTTCTTTTAAGTTGAGTAGCAATATTTGCTAGTTTCAACCATTACGATAATGAACCTCACACATTTCACTAAAAATTCAGAACTGACTACGGGTTACGGATCAAGCAAGAATAATGGCGAAATGTTGTCATTCTTCAATTCAAACAAATTTTGTACCAAAAAAGAGAATTTGTTAGCAGCGGTGATTTAAGTTTAGTCACACATACGAAAACTGAACAATATAATCTTTAGTTTTTCGAGATAGGGTTAGCCGCTGGCAAATCCGTGGAAAGGAAAGGAGATTTCAAATCATGTATCCCAAGAATGTAAAAAGCTTCAATGGCTCTACGAGGTTAGGCTTATCAGATAACTTCAGATGTTCTCTTGGTTTTTTTTTTCATCGAGATCCATATTGGTCTATGAGATGTACAACGTGGCGAGAATATTTTCCGTCTATGCGCATATGCATAATATCTCTCCTCCGTTATCGGCATCAAATCTGGTTCCTCATCCATGGCACAGCGGATCTAGGCCATCATCACGATAACCTGGCCGTCGATCTTCCTATATAAGTGATGCGCAAATCTGCTGATGGCCATTGTACTTGCTCACAACCATAGTACGCCATTATGCGCTCATGCAAATTCTTTTTTTTTCTTCGTGGTCCTCAGCTGTGATATGTCAACTTTCCCGTTTCAGATGTCTTCGCGTACGGTGGCAGTGATTGCCACTGGTCTGGGATGCTTTGCCCTTGCCGCCTGTTTCCTTGCCTTTCCCATGATCCTCAGCGAGATCAACGACATCCGCGCTGAACTCGACGCTGAGATCGAGTCGTGGAAGCTCGAGACCGATGCTCTGTACAGAGACATGAACAAATATGGCAGAGTTCGTCGTCAGGCTTACGGATACGGTGCACCTCCACCTCGCAGTAGCTTCCCCAAGGTTCGTCAAAAAAAGAAACTCTTTACTTGTTTACTAGTTACTCTTTACTTTTTACTAGTTCAGCTGATGGTCTTGTTTAGGGTAACTTCCCTGGTGGCTTCAGTGACCAGCCCCGTCCAAGTGGCAACTTCCCCGGAGTCGTTGGTGTACCTCCATCACTCACTGGAACTGACAATGGTGCTCCATCAGGTGAGATATCAACCTTGTCTTTCATTCAGAATCTGATAAAAGACTATTTCTAGCTCAACCCAATGGTAACTGCAACTGCAAGGCTGAGAACTCTTGCCCAGCTGGACCACCAGGACCCAAGGGAACTCCCGGACACGATGGACCAGACGGAATCCCTGGAGTTCCTGGATTTGACGGAAAAGACGCTGAAGATGCCAAGGCTCAGACACAGCAGTATGCTGGATGCTTCACCTGCCCACAAGGACCTCCTGGACCTCCTGGTATGGATGTTGGTTATAATATAAAAAAATACCAAATCATTCATTTATTTTCAGGACCCACCGGAAAGCCTGGACCTCGTGGTATGCGCGGAGCTCGTGGACAGGCTGCAATGCCCGGCCGCGACGGACAGCCCGGATTCCCCGGAACCATCGGAGGACTTGGAGCTCCCGGACCAGCTGGAGAGGAAGGACCACAAGGAGAGCCAGGAGAGGATGTTGAGCACCAAATTGGTCTTCCCGGACCTAAGGGAGTACCTGGACCACCAGGAGAGCCTGGAGATGAAGGACAGCAAGGAGACGCCGGAGCTCCAGGACAGGCTGGTCCTCCAGGAGAGCGCGGACCCCAGGGAGAGAAGGTAAGCTCAAGCCGCTTCTGCTTTTCTTTTTATATCACTGCTAATCATTTTAAGGGAGATGATGGCGCTACCGGAACTCCTGGAGAGCCAGGAGAGGAAGGAGAGCCAGGCAAGGATGCTGAGTACTGCCCCTGCCCACAGCGCAATGCTGCCCAAAACGTCCAGGCAGCTGGATATCGCCGTTACTAGAAAGCGAAAGCCATCTCTGAAATGTGCAATGCTCAATAAATTATTCGTTTCAAAGTAGTAGACGATTAATGATGATCCCTCCTAATTCCGAAACTGCTTTTCAAAAACTACATTCTAACTGTGGCATTTTCCAAGTGATATCACAAAACTCTCATTGGCTATTTAAATCTTCTGAATTGAAGCAAACTTGAACCATACTGGTTGATACGCAAAAGCAAAAGCTGTATCATTTTTCTCACAGCGAAAAACTTCTTGCAGCCGCGAAACCTGCTCAAGCATGCGCGCGACACTCTGTATATGTTAGGTTGTCCGAACGTTTTGTCTGTTTCCTTAAAAATGACCATAAAATCTCGTATAAGCTTCAACTAAAAGCGATCAAGCATGCATTCAACGCAGCAAGTAGCAGACCCGCGCCATTTGCCCCCGGAGGTATCCCTTCGACTGTCTGAGTATCTGCTCAAAGTTCGGCTGATTTTTAGAAATCCCGTTCTTCTTGTTGACTTTCGGAGAAAATTGGGTATTAGACAAGGGGGAATCCGAACAGTACATTGATGTCTTGGAATTCTTCTGTTCTGCTTTACGGAGTTTTATAGTATCATTTCTTCGGAGATGTTTTTGCTAAAATCAGGGAACACACAACTGGCAAGAACACAAAATCTTTCAAACCTCTGCAAATTGAAGTGTGATTGTCACTAGTGATTATAAGATAAGCAAGTTTAGTTCACTACAAAAGTAAGCTCTTTGAACTTTTGGTACTTTCAATTAAAATGCTAGGATAAATTTTTGAAGAACTGCAGAGGTTTTGGGTTTACTCAAAAATTGCTCGAAAAGCAGTAGTGATAACAGCGCGAAGACTGAGTGGATTAGGCAAAAATTGCAGCCATCAAAAAGAGGATCGAATGATAATCGAGTAGCTCATGGGTCAATGTTTTCTGAGTTTTGGTGGTCGGTTCAAAACAACGGACCAAACTTTCAGGACAGCCTATTATACTTAGCATCGGTGCTTCGGTATAAGAGCAGAGATAAAGCATCCTTCAGCAAGAGAAAGACAAGTATTGCTATAAACTGTGGATCAAGGGTTGGACGCGGATAAAGTCAGTATTTTGTAGTTGACAAAGAAATTGGCAAAGAAATCAAAACACTATCTGGAAACTTCTTTTTTACTTTTTCTTTACCAAAAATGTTTTTATGTTCAATAATCAACGAAGCACCTCGCCAGATGGCATTTGAAGTGATATGAAGTTCAAAAGCTAAGCAAATTGTCCAAGAATAGAAAAACATGAAAGCATGATCGAATCGGAAAATCTGCAAACAAATTACGGATGTATCTCGTAAGAGAGTAGTTTCTAAACAGTCGTCAGCGCATCCAGCTATCGCTGCACAGCAATTATCCAGTATGAGACATAAGTCTTGTACCGAAGTATAGACCGCATATCATATTTATACCAGACACTAAATAGGGTTTTAAAGATTTGCAACAACTTTTATCCATGCGAAATGTGAGGCCAAAAACTAAGAAAAACCAAGCGTTCGAAATGTTCAAGAAAATCCGCAACTTCGTTCGATAATGCAATAGAAGTACTTGCCTGCTCACCAGCACTCCATTGCAGACATGTATTTATGCAGTTGCTGCACTTTTCTCAGCTAGAAATTAATAAGACGAGTATTTTCATTTTTTATCAGATTGATGCTGAGCTCTCCTTACACTAGCAGTTGTACACTACAAACCTTTAGAAGTACAACCCTGAATTTGTAGTCTTCCATAGCACCTGCTTTTTGAGAGAGAGAGATATCGAAATTCGCATAGAAAACCGAATTAGAGGAGCTAGACATAGCCTAACATCACTTTAGCGAAACTAAGGGAACTTTTGTTTTCTCGATCTCCAGCCAGGATAGGTGTAAATATGAATGCCTGGTGCAAATAGTATAGCAATGGTCTGGCAGGTTTGCAGGGTTCTTCTGGAAAGATTTTGATCTTTTTTTTGATTTTCAGGCGGTTGGATCTATCTTTTTCGTTTTTAGCCTCAAACTTCTTCTAGATAGAATTTGTTGCAGACCTGTGAAAACTATCTTGTAGAGCTAGCCTTGCTGCCCTGCTCAGAGGCTCCTCCACCTCTGATGCCTATGAATCTTTGCTAAAGATTATGTGAAATCCAACTGAAAGCGTCTTTGTCGCAAACACCAACTTGCACGAGCTGTGTCGAGGGACTATGGGTGGCCTTGCCTAAGAGCTTCCATCGAACTCTGTGTTCTTCAACAGTGTACATTGGTGATATTAATTACAAAAGTTGATAAGTTTATGTTTCAGCGAGCTGCAGGCTCATTGAAGCAAGCGATTTGACAAGTTTGGGTTGCGTTTGTGCAGATGGCTGAAAATAGTTTGGCTGCGACGTCTGGACGTGTCCTTTGGCCTAGGTCCGGCTAACGTCACGACCTTGCAAAGGTCTACACTTGAACGCGGGAGTTGCGCCGGCAATCTTCCATATTTGAAAAGCAATTTGTTAAATGACTTGAAAACGAGCGGCTGTATTTGAGAATTCTGTTTCTGGATAACATGTATGATACAGTGACCTTTTGAAATGAGACGGTTTGTGTTTACTGTGCTGAATACCACAGGCCGCAGTGGGATTACACCAACAACCTCTGATTGGCTAATTTCAGTTTTGTATACGATCTCAAGCTGACAAAATAAAGTCCACTGAAAGTGGGGGTTCAAGCGCTCAACGAGATCACGCGTTACAAAGTCAAAATGGGATTGAGGGCAGCATATCCATTCCTGAACATATACTAACAGCAGGGACGAGTGGCGTAGTGTCATAAAGCTCCGCTACAACAGGTCATACAAAATTCGATCCCGCTCCTGGGCCCTCCAAACCCTCTAATCTTCTGAACAATAAATTGGTACTAGAGTAATCTAACGGAGAAGTATAAAAGCAGCACGAATCAAATGGCGCCAGGAAGTCAGTGCAAAGGCTCGCACGCATACTGCCTCTTCGACTTTGAAGTGGAATGCCTTCGGCGCATCAGAGTGTATCAGAATGCCGTCCTTCATTTACATACTTTATAGGGCGAGTATCACATTCGCAACTTTCAACTGCTACGGGCTTACAGAAGCTTATGTTTCTGCATTTATCTTCACTTACTTCATTAACAACAATCTCATAAAAGTCAAGACCAAAATGACCGTTATACAAATCTTCAAGAACTTTCGATTTGAACGGTAAATTCTGAAAGTGACGAGTGCATGTAACCATGTAGACTGGAAGCTTTTGAAACACTTTATTCAACACTCATTATGGTACAAATACTCTGCCACTTTCGAAGTCAATCATGCAGCAAAATAGTCCATCAAATGTATCACAGGAAGATGTTTGAGCTAAAAGCGATGGCGCCTATGGTGAGGCTTCGGACGATGGATTGGCTTGGGAAGATGGTGATGGATCGGCTTATGGTGAGGCGGCCTTGGCCTAGGATGATGGTGTCTGGGTTTTGCTTCCACTGAAAGCATATGGAGGTCTAGTCAGGCTAGGCCGATTCTGAAACTTACCAGAAGTGCTGCAGATGAACATTAACGCAAGGAGAGTTATCAGAAGAAATTTGAAGGACGCCATTATACTTACTGGAAGAGTCGAATTTGCACCAATCTGAAAGCTTAGAAGGCTTATATAGTAAGTTACCGTATTGAAAAAGTTTTGGATTTGTCGAACACGGACACGTGTCAAGCGAAAGTTATGGTCAAATTCTGGTTTTAGCAGATGTTCGTGAAAACAATGAAAATCTAACTTGGTGACGTAATATAATGATGAGCGAAAGATGAGGAAGCAAAAAAGCGTGGAAGTTTCTGGGATGCAACCTTTGCCGCGTTTCGGTCGCTAACTTTATGTGAGAATTTAAAGAAAGGTTCAAACGACGACCGTGCCTCCAAAAACATTTCGAATATTAGATAATTATTGTACCTTTCACTTGCTGAAAAATCTCTTAAATCAGTGTAGTTTCTAGCTAAACTATCCTTTCTTGGAGATTTTACTTGTTGCAAAGGCGCAACTTCCTGGCTTCAAAAGCTTGATTGCCAGCCGCCAGTACGCAGAGTTCAGGATTATTTCAGGCATATAGTCCTTCGGAGAGTTGATATGCCGTAGTTGTATGGAGACCTACTGGGTTGCTCATATGAGAAGAAGGACGATTTTGGAATGCCGCCTTTTCTCAAAATATAACAACCGGCCATTGGCACTCTAAAACTGTCAAAATTTTCTTAGTAAGCGACTAAAGATTCTTTCGCTTTGCAGAATGAACGAAAATTTTGCAAATATCGTACTGATTTTGCCCTGCTCATCCTTTGATCCCATTATCCAACAGTCGATCCTTATAAATTCTAGTTTGCTGCAAAAAGAGTTGCAGCGAGATGCAAGTTTGACAGCTCGCGCTTCTTGTGCGCAACAGAATTTGAGTGCAACAGCGGCTTTGAAATCGCCACACTTCTCTCTTATATGTTCCAAAACCAAAAATTTAGCCGTTTACAGCTTGACGAATTATAATCTTGAACCACTTGAGCACCCAACTAAGTCGAAGGCTGCTCAGCTGAAACACTTTTCATTTTGGATTCAACCGATATTATGATGTAACGGAATTGGATAATGCCTTGTAAAGTTCTAGTACAAACAAATCCATGCGCAGGACGACTGTTACATATCAGAAACTTCAGTCAACGTCTTTTTTTATCTTAGAGGTAATCCAGTAAAGAAAAACACCGCAATGATCTGTGATAATCCACAACTTCTTGTTTCTTGATCGCTCACTGATTAATCAGCCGACTTTTTGGAATGTTAACGAGTATCCTTATTAGAACCAGAATTTCACTACTCTTTCTTCGTAACAGGTATCTTCAGTGGTAAATAAAACTTTTTGTCTAAAACAAGTGAAGTGATATATAGTGCAGTCAGCGCTGAGATTGTCTGCGAATTCGAGGCTTCATTTGAGGGTGATGGCTTCTTTAAAACTTCTTCTAATAACTCTTCTTGCCTTGATGTTCATCTGCAGCACTTCTGGTTAGTTGCAGAATTGGTTTATTCTCGACTCAATCTTCATATACGTTTTGCAGTAGAAGCAAGGATCAAGCACCATCATCCTAGGCCGAAGCCGCCCCACCATAAGCCGATCCATCACCATCCTCCCAAGCCAATCCATCGTCTGAAGCCTCACCATAGGCGCCATCGCCTTTAGCTCAAACATCTTCCTGTGATACATTTGATAGACGACTTTGCTGTATGATGTTCGAAGTATTTACTGGAAAGGAAAATTGTATGTACCATCTGAGTGTTTAGCGCAAGTCCGAAACATCTATCGTCCCCAAGTTTACAGCGGCTCTTTACTTGTACTCTTTGATCAAAAATAGTTTTTTTATGGGTTAGCGCAGTTGCCGAACTAATCTGGCTTGCTTATGCAATTCTCGTCAATAGATTATGCTCAAATATAGTGTACGCCAATACAAGCAAATTTGCGCCCACACACCAATCAGAGGTTGCGGAACTCAACTCAACCTAGATGTTTTTCAATGGGTTAATTTCGTAGCTGATATTTCCATAGATACATTTGTTAAAGATTTTGCTGCATGAGGATACACAAGAAAGTATTATCTAAGTAGCAAAACTGTATGACAGTACCATATGGTGTGTTTAATAAATTAATTGAAAAAAATTAGTTAATTCATAATTAAGTAAGCGCTATGTATTAATGAATAAAGTTGTCGTGTGTAGGCGTCTTCCTATCTGTCCGGTCTTGTCAATTCTTACTTTACGAACTATTCTATCGGAATATGCTCAGATATAGTAATTCACAAGTAACATTGTTAGCTTCTAACAACTTTGCAGAACTCGCTGTAACTTTCCGTTGATTGTATTTTACATCGAAGTGGGGGTCCTTCTAACTGCTTAGTTTCCTGACTTCAATTGTCAAGGTGTGGTTGTAAATCCATTGTAGTCCGCGTTCTTGAAAGCATTCATATTTGCACACTACTATTAGGTCGTTCCGAAAGTAGTGTAGTTTTTTTCAAATGTACGCCACATCTAATGGAAAAAAGAGTCATGGTTTTTTTTTAATTTTCGGGTGGTTGGATCTTTTCGTTTTTGGCCTCAAACTTCTCCTTGATAGTAGTTGTTGCACACCTTTGAAAACTATCTTGTAGAGTTAGCTTTGCTCGATCGAATGGTTTATCAGACCGTATCTGGGATAAGGGAAAATATGAATTACCGCGGTTCACAGATACATATTTTGGTGCGAGGTTTGTGCTCCAAGAATAATAGGATAATGGAATGGTCTACATCCAGTTGGAAGTGAGCGGAGGCCACCTATTAGAATCAAACATTTCTGATATCTGTGCCCTTCTTAAAAGCTCTTCCACCTCTTTCCAATGTCTATGAGGCTTTGCTATAGACTACAGTCCGTGTCAACCTTGTGCACCCTTTTCCACTAGCCTATTCCGCGATCGCGGCGCGACCCCAGGGACTCGCACCGCGCATATGGCCTGCGCATTCAGAACTTGCCTCATCGGTCCGGGTCGCCGCTCTGGCGCTTGCGGTGCGGACGCGCAGCTGCTATAGGAAAGGGAGCATTTGGTTGACATAGACTGTATGTAAAAAAGCTTTTCTGTCAAACCTACTTGCACGAGCTGTGTCACGCGGTATGGGCGACTTTGCTTAAGAGCTTTTCATTGAATTCTGTGTTCTACAACAGCGTACAGGGTGAAACTAATCACAAAGTTGACAAATTAATGTTTGAGGGAAGCTGCTGGCTCATTGAAATTGGGCGAGTTTAAAAGTTTGGGTTGCGTTTGTGCAGATGGCTGAAAAGTAGTTTGGCTGCTACGTCGTACATGTTCTTTGGCGGCAGTCCGACTGAATTCACGACCTTCCAAAGGTCTACACTTAAACGCGGGCATTGCGCGGGCAATCTTCCATTTCGCTGAAAACCAGTTTGTCAAATGACTTGAAAATGAGCAGTGTAGATTTGAGAATCCTACTTTGATCACACGCATGATACAGTGAGCTTCTGAAATGGGCGTTTATTTATGCTGCTGAATACCACAGGCTGCAGTGGGTTACTGCAATGACCTCTGGTTGGCTAATTTCAATTTTGAAATTAGACACAATCTCAAGCTGATAAAATAAAACCCACTAAAAATAGAGGTTCATACAAGCGCTCAACGAGATCACCGCCGTTACAAGTCAAAATTGTCGCGGATGAAGGATTTGTCGCGCAAGTACAAGGTGCCGAAAATGGGCGTCACAATTTTCATTGCAAAATTTTACGTGAATAACGAGATTTCGCAAAGTTTTTTTTGCACATCAGAACAGAGGCGTCTTAAAGGCACCGTCCCCTCAGATTCTCGGCTTGCACGATTTGTCGTTCCGGGGCCCTTCTCATGTCCCTGATTCCGAATACCAAGTCGAGAATGCGCGAAAACCTCGACAATTCCCGTTCCGGAGAACCCACAGGGCGGCTTTCCGGAACGGTGATTAAATGGGCGCGCACAAAAGGGCGGGCATGTATGGGGGAGGGAGGGCATGGATGGGGGTCCTCGTGCATCTTTGCTATTTCGAAGCGATTTTCTCGCTTCATTTTGCGCCGCTACTTGAGCATTGGATTGATAGGGAGCCCTACTATTGTGTGCTGCCAAAAGCTCAACACACTCAACTTAGGGTGGACGTTGCTTTTAACACGTTGACGAGAGTGCCGCGCAATGGTGCGCGGCAGGCAGTCTGTTCCTGTGGACGACGCCGCGCAATGGTGCGCGGCGGCCTTAATTTCAATACTATCTGTCCAATCCTCTCAGTTTTTTGTTCATGTTCAACATAGATTCAAATGTACTTCACGTATAAGTCCCGCCGCTTTTGGCAAACTCCGCCCACTCCTATGCCTCTCACAAGGACTCTTTTTGTTCATAAGAAGCATGGATGAGGTCGTAAATGAACGCAAAGACCTTAAGCAGGTTTTAGCCAAGCCCTGCCCGCCGTCAGGCAAACTCCGCCCCCCTAAGTGGCAAGCTCCACCCATTTTTCAAAAGTGGTTGAATTCACATAAATTCAATTTGGGCAATTTTCGCCATTTTCGGCCGAGTGGGCGGAGCTTGCCACATGGGGGCGAGGCTTGCACATTTTGTATTTCGTGTTGGATGCATGCACATAACATGGGCCAGGCGTAGGGATGCACGGAAACGCCTCGTCCGCAGAGGCAGACCTCAAAAAATGGCTCGTCGTCAACTTGTTAATGTGTTACTCCTACAAAGCTGGGCTTCTGCACATGCGCGCAGGTTTCAGCAGTTTATTTGAAGTAAATGCGTCAAAAAATGCTGTGTGAAGAATGTACCCGTTGCGAACCCGTGGCGATATCCGCCTACGAATCCAATTATTTTTGAAGTATGAGGTTTTGTAGAGCATAATCTAAGGAATAACATAGTGCCATATCAGCAGTAAATTCTCTTCTCCAAAGCAAAATACGGTACT